TACTGTTAAATAATATAATAGGCGAAAATAAAAAAAATTCGAGATATTTAGAGGGCTGTTTTCAGTCCCTAAGTATGGGTCATTGCAGATAAAAAGAAATCATCAAATATTATAATATAAAATTATAATATTATTAATATAAAAAGCATCAAATATTTTTAATAAACTACATCACACTAACATTTCATAAAAATCGGCGCGTTACAGTTGAAGATGCTACAAATTGATAAAATATAATATAGTGATATTAATATAATTGATAAAATATAATATAGTGATATTAATATAATTGATAAAATATAGTCTTTCTCATAAAGTCCAATATGGAAATACGATCGAATGATATAATATCGTATAACTTCTGAAATAGAAGGAACACTGAACCGAAAAGAGTTCGGCTAGCAGAAGCCGCAATTAATTTTGCACAGATTCGGTAAATATAAATAAGCGAAGAATGTAAATGAGAATGTGATTAGGTGTCGTCGCAGAGAGCCGTAAGATCGGCACCTTTGAAGAGGCGTTCGCGAAGCGTGAAGAAGCGTTTCTGTGGTGCCGGGTCCTGTAAGAACGACGAAGACGGAAGGTCGCGGAACCGTTCGTCTAGCCGAGGAAAGAATTCGAGCGATGCCAAAACTATGGATATCGTTACAATGGTGTCGCTTGTCAGTTCCGCGGACAGCGACAGCGATACCGAGAATTCGCCGAGGGATGATAAATTAATCGACGAGTTACGGAGCAAACTACCCACCACGTCAATCATCAAAACATCGATGAATACCGCCTCGAGCATCGCTAGGAGGCCCATTAAGTCAGGTACAATGCAAACGATGCCTTTTCACTTGCACCGAAATGAGAATTTCTTTTTCTGCACTTCGAAGGTTTATACGTTTGATCGGCCTGGAACTAGGTCGTACCCGATCAATTTCCTGCGAAGGCTAAATTGTGTTTGTTTTAACGTTTGTTACACGTATTTGATGGAACAATCTTTCGCGTGTATTTGCGCAAAGAGAAAGTAAGACAGATATTTATTACGAGGTCGTATGTCGTAATGTGTAGAGGAATAATGAAATGAATAGATAGAGAGAACTAACGAGAAAATGAGAAAAATGACTTTCTAATATAATAGTTAATGATTTAAATAATACATGATTTTGTTCGTCATTAATAAGTAAATGATCACTTCGTGTAATAGTTAATCCTGAAGAGATAAGAATAACAGAATTTAATATAATAATATTATTATAATTATATTATAATATTAATTAACTAATATTATATAAATATAATAATTGAGTATATAATAATTGATTAAATATAATATTAATTAATTAATATTATATAAATATAATAATTGAGTATAATAATTGATTTTGATGATCAAATTTTTCCAATTTCAGTACAATGTGAAATAGAAAAATGAATATATTTTCAAAAAGTAAAATAAAAAGAATAAGATAGTAAATGAAATTATTTCAAACTTTAATGAATTTATTACATTAAAAGTATGAAATCGTTGCATAATTCTTCTTTGAATTATATCACGTCATCACATATGCAAATTGCAATAGTGCGACAGAACGTTTGAAATTATCTGTTTCTTATTAATGATTTTCAATTTTGCAAAACATTACAAATCTCATTGGTTAAATCACTCCATTTTCATTCCATTTTGGACAAATTGATATAGAAAGTTTTTATTCTGCATAAAGGTCCGCGAATGAACTTTGTAAATTTTAATTCACTATGTTTGCACATTCGAATAATATAAATTCAATTCTTTCGCGGTAGAAACTCTTGTAAAGAATGAATTATAGATATTATTTATTCTCGTAATAATCTTTATTAATTCAATATGATTGCGCATACGCGGCACGACCGTCAACGTGTTAGTTAAATAAAAGTATTAATAGAAGGTTATTGGATGAACACGTTGAAGGATGACAATACTAATGTTACACGGGGAATATCGTGCAGGAATTTAATAATACGCACACGCGTACAAGAGTGGCTGTGTAATGATAATTGAACGGGTTAATTAGAAGCGACGCAACCGCACGCGAGCTGCGCATGCCACGAATAATTTCGGAATATCCATCGTTGTCATTCCTTGTAGTTCTTAAGTGCGAGAAAAAGTTCCCTGTGCAAAGAACAACGTGCACTTCATGCCCCATTAGTCTCGCGAGCTTTTAGACGACCCCGTTCGCATTCAGAGACACCGCTCGAAAAATTCTGAAATACTTGTAAAACTACGGAAATACAAATTAATAGAATATAAGAAAATTAATTTGTTATTAAAAATAATTCTCAACTTTTCTAGTCATATTTTCAAGAATAGATCGAACTTTTTACAGAATTGGATATAATAAAAGTTGAAAAATAATTTTCAATTTTTCTAGTCATATTTTCAAGAATAGATCGAACTTTTTATAGAAGTGGACACGTCAATACTAACGTAGCTTGTATTCCACTTTTAACGTTTGACATTTCAGTCAAAAGATTCAAAATTAAATATAAACGATATTGTTGCTACACCATATAAACGTTATTTAATTTTTGAAATATAAGTTTAACACTTTATTCTGCTTTTTTGTTAAATGGTAATTCAGAATAGTTTTCAATACAATGATTAAAGCGTCAACAACGAATGAAACTTAAAAACAAGATTATTGCCTTTTTTTGTATATTCCAGCTTCATTTTCGTAATTAATAAGTGAACTGCTGATCTTTATGAAAAATGAAAATTATCTGTACTAATTTAGTCTGCACTAAATTTTTTATTTTTCTTCTATTACCTTTAACAAGTTGTAAACGCTACAGTAGCATCTTTAAATTTGTCTAAAGTATTAACTATTATACAATTGTCTAACTCTCTGTTTCGATCATCTCTGCGAATTTAACGCTTTCGAGTCATATGCATTGTCCTCGATAAATCCTCCCTATTACCACTGAAACCGTTTTACCTCCCTTATTTATATCCTCACACCTCGGGAAATATTTCCCTCGAGAAATGCTAAGTATGGCTGGAATCTGGAAATTCCTGATCGTATCTCTCACACCTTGGGCTATAGATCTGTGAACGTGCCTCCTTCTATAGATACAGATGAGCACTAACTACTAATTTCAAATTGTTTTTATCATCGTAGTAATCAAAGAAATATCGCTCAGAGAAATGTAATTCTGAAACATAATCATCGAGTCAGTAATAATTAGAATGCGAATATTTATGCAAAATAAAAATTGTTTAAGTTAAAATGGTAGGAAACTTAACTAAATTCTTACAATTAATGCAGAAAAATGTTATTTTCCATGAAAGTCCGTAGTCCAGTGATAACAGTATACATATGAAAACCGAAACATCAGCGAATATTTACAAGACAAATATATGTTAACAAACCAATCGAACATTTTAAACAGATTAAGTCACGCGGTGTGAAGATCTTAATGTTCACTACTTTGGATTCGACTGACATCGATGAACATTAAATCGTTATTCGGTCACTAAAGATAAAAATAAAATGTTCAACCTAATCGAGTTAAAATTGTCGCTGTTTTTCTTCTATCAATGCCTCCACGCTATAAATAAAATTGTTCGAAGAAATATCACGAGGTGATATCGTAGGATTGGAAACAATTAAATACCTTACCAATTGGTCTGCCTTGTATAGCAATGCTAATTAAGGAGAAGTTATATCGCGCAACGACATGAAACCGGTAAAGACAATAGGATTGAACACGTTAAATCGACCAAACTTCTTCTCTCTTTATATTACACCACTGACCCTGAAACGAAATATTTCATTGAAACTCGCACTAACCGTGTAATCGTTTCACGATAATGAGGCATACGACAAAATTTGAGGAACGGTGCCGTATCCGAAAATTATTGCGTGGAAGTATCCAACAAAATCGTTGCTGAATGCGTCTGAGAGAAAGCAGAGTCGGGCAAAATTTTATTCGAATGACGAATAAGAAGTAAATACTAACGAATAAAATTTTATTCGACGCTATCGGATAATTATCCAATCGAGTAAAAATGTATTAAGATTTAGTAAGATTTTATTCGAATAAGAATTCATTTTAATAAGAATTTATTCGACTAGATTTGGAAATTGTTCAAAATTTCTATAAAAACTCTTTCAAGGAAAGTAAATGAATAAACGAAAAGAGAAGCTTAGTTAACTTAGTTAACTCTCTTTACGTCAGTATAACTATATGTACTCCTATAATGATTAATCATGTTTTTCAATTTCATTTCATTTTTAGCCACAATGTGGCAAAAGCATCTTGTTCCGTTGTTTCTCCTCCATCAAGAAAGTTATGCGGTCTTCAACGCTTACTTTTACACATAAAAGTAAATTGAATTTAAATAATAATAAAATAATAATAATAATAATAAAATAATAATAATAATAATAATAATAATAATAATAATAATAATAATAATAATAATAATAATAATAATAATAAAATAATNAGTTATGCGGTCTTCAACGCTTACTTTTACACATAAAAGTAAATTGAATTTAAATAATAATAAAATAATAATAATAATAATAAAATAATAATAATAATAATAATAATAATAATAATAATAATAATAATAATAATAATAATAATAATAAAATAATTGAATAAAAATAAATTCTAATTTCCTTGTTAATTCATGTATAAATTTCACACACAATTTTTCAATTTTAAAATTGAATAGAATTTTGAAGAGACCAATTTTTATCTGCGGAAGGATTAATTTTATTTACAAACAGGTGAATATGATATACAAGAAGATTAATATTTGCCGCAAAACGTGTAATAAAAATAGTTTATCCGAGGCGGGCTCTGAACAAAAAGTCCTCGAAAAACGGGCCGTGAGCCAAAAAAGATTGGCGAAGTGTGACCGAAATGTTCAGTTTACTTCTTACGACTCTCAGCTCACTTGACAGTCTTATTCGAGTGTACGGAAAGACTGTTTGACTTGATCATTAAACTAGCTTTTTACCTGTGGCGCTTAAACTTTTTGTAGACACCAGGTTGACGACGCTGCTTGATGCTATAATATTTATTATACTTTTTATCTACCACGTAGACGTACACGCACCTGTTTTGATTTGTTGCACCGTTTAGCTGTTTTGTTGTAACATAATTATAATACATATAATTATATATATATAATAATTATATATATTATAATTTGTAAGATATTAAAAGGTTGAAGAAATAATCATTGTGATCAACTTTGACTATGCAGTTTTGTTATCAAAAAACGTTATTTTGTTTAAATTAATTGTTGGAAACATAAGCTACATAAATGTCTTTCTTCTTTTAATAATTGCAGTACGGTAAAGACTCTCTTATTCGAAAGTTTATTTTTATAATGTCCTGACATGAAATGTCGGATTTTTAAGTGAACATATAAAACTGCATATCTTTTTTCGAAAGCTGTTTATTCAATCAAAATATGCTCCATTTGCTTCGATACACTTTTCCCAGCGAGATTTTAATGCATAGATGCCTGTCTTAAAGAAAAATTCTGGTCTTTAGAATCAATAAACTCTGATATGGAATTTTTCTTGTCTTTATTTATTTGTCTTCATTTTCATACTGTTTGGCCCATAAAAACTGTTCTAAATGTTTAAAAAATGGAAGTCGGTTGGCGAAACCGAATAAGCTGGGTGCTGCGAAATTCCATATTTTAATTCATTTAATTTCGCAATTGTTTTACGCGTTTTACACGAGTGTTGTCATGGAGAAGTATTGGGCCACTTTTTAATTTTTTTGTATTTTTTAAAATTATCGATGAGCGTATAATTCTCAATTTTTCACGCATTTCATGAATGTACTGACAGTACTTTTCGGCTGTAATTGTAACCGACAAAGGATAATGTATAATGTGGACAAAGAACTTAAAAAAAAAAACGACATTTTTTGAGAAAAGATATGAACCATTGATGAGCATCTTGTTATGCGTTAACTTTCAATCATTTCGCTCCGCTCCGAACAACTGACTGAAAACTGATTGAACTTCATTGCAAGCATGAACACAAGTAGTGAATAGACACAGAGGAGAAAAAAAATGGATCGTGGAAAATATTAATGGGCTCATTTAGTACTGCGAAATCGAATCAATGACACGAGGATATCGTTTGGCCCAGTTTTCGGTAAACGGTGTTGTGATTGCCGGCCCACTAAATCAGGTTACTTGGTAAACATACGTATCGTGACTATAAAATTCCAGGTCTGATATTACCTTGATTCGACCGAATCGATTTGCAACGGTACGATATAAAAATGCAATCGAGTGATTTATTTCAAATGGAGCCCCCTCATTACCCTGTACCCTATAGTACCACTCCTCGACTAGCTTCCAGATTTTAAATAATGAGAAACAGATATTACGAGATTTATCCTACGCAAGTGGCTACGTTTATTTCCGAAAGACATTTGATCCCATGAGAATCAGACATCAGACATGGCTGAAATTGTGTTAAATATTAATTACTAAATAATAGGTAATATTATCTGAAATCTTTATTAATTATTATTAATTACTAAATAATAGGTAATACTATCTGAAATCTTTATTAATTATTATTAATTACTAAATAATAGGTAATATTATCTGAAATCTTTGTTAATTATTATTAATTACTAAATAATAGGTAATATTATCTGAAATCTTTATTTAGAAATTACTGAGTAATTGATGGCGTGTTAAGAGAATTTGGGACTTGATTATTTAAGGCGTTCAATATTTGTATTATTTTAAAAATAGATTTCTAAAGAAAATTTGAAAATAATTTAGAGATAATTATATTCTAATAAATAATAGAATAATTTTATTCTATTTTTCTTTTTTTTTCTTTTAATCGTATAAATTGTTCACATTACAATTTGTATACGTCTTCGAATGAAACGATTTTTGGTCAAAGATTTCACGAGCATTCACATCGAAAACTGAGAACTTAAAAAGATCTGACGCAAGAGAGCGAAATCGGAATATTGATCCGCATAAATAAACAAATAGGCTGACATACAGGCATATATAAAATAATTTTCGGTCGGCACGAAACGGTTACGAAACAACTCACAAAGAATAAAGATCAGTGCTCGCGGTGCATGTAGATGCAGTGGCTCACGAAAATGAGTAAAACAGTAACAGTGTGTTCTATATATATCCTTTTTGTTTTCACGTAATTTGTTATGGAATATACGCTAACTTCCTTTACGCAGGAAGAAAGATTATTTAGTGATGCATTAATGAGTTATGCAATATACCCAAAGATAACAAATTGTCCCAAGGTTGTTGTCAAAATTAACGTGGAAGAAATTAATGAATAAACCCTGGAAAACCATTATCTTCTATCATTTGTATTCAAATCGATTATTTTCCGAATTAATTGCTGTACAAATGAATCCTTATTCGAATGAAATCTTATTCAGATAAATTATTTTCTAGGTAAATTTGTATCCGATCGGATGTTTATTCGATAATGTTAAAGAAAATTTTATTCTTACTCTTATCCGTGGTCAGAATAAAATTGACTAAATAAATAAATGAAAGAAGACAAAAGAAAATGGATGAACCAAAAGAATGCATTATTCGCAAATGATCGGTAGATATCTTACCAAGGAAGAAGGTCTTACACCAAATATTAATGTAACAATTGTGAAAACATTTTCGTAAAAGAAATGCTAATTTTGTATTACTGTCTTCTATTTTTGTATATTATTAATATACTATTTCCTGTATATTATCGTACACAGGATACACATATAAAATATATATATATATATATATATATCTTTTTCTTTCAAATACACGATATGCATATAGAAATATGAGAAGTGTCTTATACAGGGTGTCCCAGGTTTTAATGCTCAAACTTTGTCAGTGTATTCTATGGCACAAAGTAAGAAAAAACTGTTATGCAAACATAGGTCATACAGAGCTTTATTAAGAAGTTATAACAAAAATTCAGAATAGGAATAGTAATCAACTTGCTGTTACCGCGAGCATTGGCTTGAATAAATCGGCACATGCCGTGTGTTTACGTAAGCTGTGTTTATTAATACATTTCGAAACGTATTAATAACCGTTGTTGACAATACACGATTGACATCGATCGAGGACTCTTTTTTATTTCTTATTTCTTTTTTTAGTTGATTACTATTCCTATTCTGAATTTTTCTTATAACTTCTTAATAAAGCTCTGTACGACCTATGTTTACATGACATTCTTTTCTTACTTTATACCATAGAATATACCGACAAAGTATGAACATATTAAATCCCGGGACACCCTGTATTTTTGTCCAGCACTGTACTAAACGGAAGGTACCGGTGGCATAGTTTCCTTTCAGAGGGACTCGTTCGACGAGGATCTACCAAAAGAGCAACAACCCCTTGCGAAGGAGGAGAAAAAAACAGTGCAGCCCCGGCTCGCGATCGTTAACCACCGTGGAAACGGTGGTAGCCTGTCGACCGAGGAAACGCCACCTTGGAGAACAGACATCCCAGGATTGGCCCTGCCTGTCCTCGCATTGATTCACGATGCCGAGGAGGCATCCCACGACATCCCGTTGACTGACCGCGAAAAGAGATGCCTGGCTGTGCCTATCGGTGATTTACACGACAAAAAGCGAAAGCTTCTGAAAACACGTAGCACACCGTCACGATCGTGAGTATGAAAACTGTACGATTCCTCTCCTCGGGCGCCGATAAAGATCCCTATCGTTCGCCTTCTACAGACGTAAATTGATTCCATTCTCGATGGTATTGCGGGTCGAAAAAAAACTATTGCCGCGTTCTCCTTCCTCGGAGCTTTATGTATAAAAATAACATCCTCGAAGAATCTGGGCTCATTTTTTACACTGCACTGCCTGATACGAAAAATAGTTCAGTTGCAGTAATTGAAAGTGGCATTAGTTTAAGCTTTGTTTCAGCTGGTGACAACTCTAAGTGAATTGTGAACAATCTGATACGTTTGTATTATCTTTACTCTTCGAGATTTGTTTCGCGTAAAAGTACTCGAATGTTTTTCAATTTCTCGATGAATCGTCGATGTTGACGAATTATCATAACTTCGTGATGGGAGAATCGAATCAGAAAATTCGTAAATCGAGCTCCAGAAGTTCTTCGTATAGCTTCAGTCGATGGCAGATTCGGTGGCGATAATAATTTTCTTAAATTTTCTAAAAATATGTCTTACAAGAAAATTACAATGAATTTCGAAAATAGATACTCCAAGCTGTAACCTTGAAGTAGCGAGCAAATTTTAAAGCTTTTTGGCAGACTGGTGAGACGTGAAATTGACGTACGCCACTAGTTGACGGTTAAAATCGGATCGTTATCGCATGATTTTATTTTTTATGGTTAACAAAATAAGTACTGCAGTCATTGACATTTACGGAACTACTACAAACGTTGTAATATTTATTGCGTTATTGTGTATGTACAAGTGTCAAATGAAAATTAAATTCGATCGTTCTTGCTTTATTCAGAATATACATAAGTATTATATATTATATATATATTATATATTATATATTATATATGTATTATATATATTATATATTATATATTATATATTATATATTATATATGTATTATATATATTATACATAAGTATACATAAGTATTAAAAATGAAGGGAATCAAATGTAATTAAACAACAGTATCGTATTAAAAAACGTATAAAAAATAAGAAAAATTTCCCCTAAAGATCGATAGAAATGATCAATTGCTTAATTGCCACTAATATACTCGTCTAGCTATGATTAAGGTAAAATTTCCCTTCATCGAGTACCTCATTAGTCACTCTTTACTTTCTGTCGCATTTAGAAACCCCGGCAAATTATTTCCTTAAATCTTCTAATATGACTCACGCTCAAGCAAGAACACCAAAAAGTTCGTAGAGAGTGATTCAGAAAATACTAAGAATCGTGCTAAATAGTATCGAACAACGTGTGGCGAAAATCAATTGATTCTATGCTGTATTATAGCTGTAACGACTTGCCACGGGGTAAATTCATAATCGAAAAGACG